CCTGGAAACACACACACACACACACACACACACATTCCAAAAGGATGCTCTAATGCTTGTAACTCCCTTATGGAGGTAGAGGGAGGGAGAAGGGGGAAGAAAGGTGTATAAATAAAGCTGGTGTGTGAGAGAAGGAGGTTCCTTCCTTCCTTCCTTCATTCATTCAGATCAGTTCCTGCAAGCTTGTATCCTGTCGTCTTTGCATTGCCTGCACCCCTGCACCCCCACACCCCAAGGAGCAGCACCACATGGATGGATGTATATATCACTGGTGGGTAACCGAGGCCACCCAATAGCATATTTGCAACTCAGTCATGCATTTCCTAATTCTGATTCAGCCCTCAGTCATCATAGTTCCCGGTGGGTAGTTGTGTTGGTCAGTGGCAGAAGAGCAAGATTTGAGTCCAGCGGCACCTTAAAGTCCCACAAGATTTCCAGGGTATAACCTTTGGAGAGTCTGATATCTGATAAAAGGTAGCCGGCCTGCCAGAGCGCCAGAAGGAACATCCAGCCAATGGACTGCCGGGAACAGAGCCAAGCCGAACCGAAAGGAACATCAGCCTCCACCTGGGTGTCGGTAGGCTGTCCCACCCCCAGTATAATGTGGCCTAAGTTAGGGTGTAATGTGCTTGGCACCTCCCCATGTAAACCGCTCAGAGACCCCCAAGGGGGTTAGGGCGGTATATGAAATCGAAGGAAATAAATAATACATAATAAATAAATGTATATTGATGGAGCTGTTGGCATAACAAAGGCAATACTGATAGTTGGTGTGTCTCTTCAGATGTGAGTCTTAAGTGCTGATGGACACAAAGTAACATCTCACATCGGTCAAATGGCATCATACAAGAAGCAAGAAGGCTTCATTGAGCAGCAGAAACGTCACCAAGATGAAGCCAGAAGGTATATGATGGAGGATAATGGGATGCAAGGCCATCTGAATGAATGGGAGAGCAGAATAAGACCAGAAAGGGCTTGCATTTTGCGGGGCTGGGCAGGGGAGGGGAGAGAGCTGGCTGGAGGCTGGTTGCGGTGGGTGAGCACGGCAGGAAAGAAGGGCTCCTCCTCCCGCCTGGAGTCAATGGAATGGCGCCAGAGCACGAGGGGGAAGAGGCCAGCCACTCGCCACCCGCCCCCAGTCTTTGTCCAGCCGCTGCCAACATGCCCACCCATCCCACCCCAAAGTGTACAGATATATATATTCGATATGCTCGGCGTGCGCTGCCACACCCACCTTTTTCTTCTTATTCTGTTTACCTTCTTTGTTGTCCAAACCCAGGGCTTTTTTGTAGCAGGAACTCCTTTGCATGTTAGGCCACACACCCCTAATGTAGCCAATCCTAATGAGTTTCTGCTGTTGGGTGTGGCCTATTATGCTAATGCGTTCCTGCTGGGCGTGGCCGACTTGGAAGCCAGCCGGAACTCCGTTCCTGTGTGTTCCTGCCCAAAAATAGCCCTGGTCAATGCAGTTAAGTCTTGTCTAACCTACTCTGGTTTTTTTCTGTTTTAATGTGCTGGCTTTTGCCATTAATAAATTTCAGTTTTGGTTTAGTACAGTTAAATACAAAGCAACTGAGATCATGGTCTGTACTGTTTATACGTAGTCAACATGGTGAGACTGTAACGGGTGTATTAACCTCCCCCATAAAGGAAGCATTCCTTGTAAAACGTTCACCTGTAAACAGAGGGTCTCTTTACCTGTGCCAAAGTAGTGCATTAACCACTAAATCACTGAGATGGCTATTCTGTTCAGTGCCCAATCTCTATAAGTTAACAGCCATCTGACTGAAGAGAAAACAGAAGTTTCTTTGTTCCAGGTGTCAAGTGAAAACCTTGTGTTCCAGCCAAAGATTACTCAAGTTTATCTTTTCAGATTTTTATTTAAAACCAATCCAGTCATTCTTGAAACGAGTAAATATGAAAGAATCACAATAGTGCAAGAAACACTCGAGTATGTCAATGAAATCAGAAACAGAAAGGCACGCATATCATCCTTTAGCCTACCCATTTTAAGATTAAAAGATAAAATGCAATTTTCTGAGATTCACACAAGAGCACTTTCAGAAAGATTAAATAGTCTCACACAAACCCACACACGAGAGATTTATTGGCGACTTGGGTGTGGCTATCTTATATAGTTTCAGTTATGTGAACTTCACATGACCATACCAAACCTTCCAATTTGTCATTTGTGGTTATACGAGCTTTTCTTTGAGCATAGAAGAGACTTCCTATGAAATGTATGTATCAGAACCATGAACTACTAAATCAACTCGTTCAGAGATTTTTCTGGGCCTCTGTCCATCTATTCCAAGTTTTCTCTTCCCCAAGGATGGAACAGTGAGAATATAGCTAAGAAGGCAAAACTTGCACATCTTTTGCAAATTTGAAAACTAAAGCAAATGGTCAAGCCTTCTGTTCTTCATTCAGTACCTTCACCAGATAAAGTTCTGTGACAAAACTACGGCAGAAGCCAGGGCAGCGCAAGGGTCTGATCTCAGTATGATGAACATTAATGCTATAAAATGTCTGTGCCACATACAGTACAACCCAACAATTAACTATAATGCTCAGGTGTGCTGTATCAGGACAAATATGCCCAAGGACCTTGGTTATTGAACTGGCACCACATTTCTGTGGCTAATCGTAATTTCGTATAACAGCCATGTTGTGCTGAACCCAGGAAGCAGCAAGAAAGCACACAGTAATGCAAACACGATACTATACAGTCTTAACACACTTCTTAAAAAGAAGAACAGTGCAACTTTTGGAATGTAATTCAGCACACCACAGAGCGATGAGACCCAGTGTGACACATCATGATGCAGGCAAATGGGGCGGGGGGTTAGTGGACCATCCGTTGCATAGGAAGCAAAATCCTGTGCATTCATGATGGTGAACGTTGCCAAAGGAATCTAAACGACGCTGGCGTTAATGCTTTCCGCCCTTAATGCTTTGTTGCTTTGCAGTGTCCTTGGAAATTGTAGTAGACGATACTTGGAATGGAGAAAGTCTGAGAGGTTTGTAATGGAGAGGAAAGCTGGGAGTCACGCTTCATTGGGAGCAGAGAGCAATGGTTATTTCACCTAGAAAAACAGAAGGGGTGGGAAGGAGAAAGAGATTACGAGATGGCTCTGCACTGTCTGCATGACCAGCATGGGACATCTGGTAAGCTGTTGATGGAGAAAGCTGAGTTACTAGATGGCCCACTGATCTGTTATTGACCAGTTATAGAAGGGGTGTGAAACATCTGGCCTGGGGGCTGAATCAGGCCCCTGGAGGGCTTCCATCAGGCCCACAGTGGAACTGGCCATCTCCTGCTTCCAGTTCTGCTGCATCATAGCTTGCTTCGCCAGACTTTCTTAATCACTCAGTCATTTCATGTTTTAACCTGGGTCCTAGACTCAGAACTCTGAGCATGAGATTTCTGTGGCGAATGTCAAAACATCAAAGGCCCCATTCACATGGCGAATTTGCCGCAGGAGAGCCATGAATGTTGGGTGGATTTTCCGGCCATGATCACACCACAACATCTGGCGGGCATAGCGCACCTGTGGTCAACCTGTGGTGTGCCGCCAAAAATGCGCGGTTAAAAAGTACCTGACCAAAAGTACTGGCAAATGGTTTGCCACGGGCTGCTGACGGACTCCGTCCGTGTGATCACACCGGTGTGGCTTTTCCCTCCGGCTGTCTTCCGAGGAACGGAACTGTGGTTTGCTGCCGAAGCATCTGATTGCGTTGTTGCGGGTCTAATTGCGCTGCTGCAAATTGCCACACCTCCCCACCGCATTTTCCGGCATGTGTGACCGGGGCCAAAGTAGGTTTACAGCTTACAGAGCTCATGTTTTAAAGCATATTTTTATTTTAAGTAAAAGTTGTCATTGTTTTTGTGTCTTTTATAAAGTTTATATCTCCGCTACCTGGCATTACATTTTGTGACACATAGGTCTCATTTATGTCATATCCAGCCCTCATAACAAATAAGTTTGACACCCCTGAGTTATGGTCCGTTGATCTTATTCTTCTGCTGTTGTGATACACAGGGAAGTAGATTGACAGACAGAAACAATTAAGATTAGGAAGACCTTGAGAACAAAGGCCCTTTTTAAACAATGTGGTGTAGTGGTTAGAGTTGATCACAAGCTAAACATGAGCCTGCAGTGCGATGTGGCTGTGAAGAAAGCTAATGCAATCTTAGGATGCATTAACAGAAGCATTGTGTCCAGATCACGGGAGGTGGTAGTTCCGCTCTATTCTGCTATGGTCAGGCCCCACCTGGAGTACTGTGTCCAGTTTTGGGCACCACATTTTAGGAAGGATGTTGACCAGCTCGAGCATGTCCAGAAGAGGGCAACCAGGATGGTGAGAGAGTTGGAATCCAAGTCTTATGAGGAAAGGCTGAAAGAGTTGGGTATGTTTAGCCTGGGAAAGAGAAGGCTTAGAGGAGACATGATTGCAGTCTACAAGTATTTGAAGGGCTGTCATGTAGAAGATGGAGCAGATCTATTCTCTCTTGCACCGGATTGCAAGACTAGATCTAATGGGTGGAAATTACAAGGGAGTCGTTACCGGCTAAATATCAGGAGAAACTTCCTAACTGTAAGAGTGGTTGAGCAGTGGAACAGTCTGTCTCAGGAGGTGGTGGATGCTCCTTTGCTGGACATTTTCAAGCGGAGGCTAGACGACCATCTTTCGGGTATGTTGTAGGTATGTAGGGCTATCTTTCAGTATACCCCTGCAGAGTGCAGGGGGTTGGACTAGATGACCTGCAAGATCCCTTTGCGAGTATAAAATGGAAGAGGAGAATGCTTTGGGTCCCCGTTAGGGAGAAAGGTGGGGTATAAATAAATAAATTAAGTAAGTAAGTAAGTAAGTAAATACATAACAGCACAGCAGGAAATACCAAAAAAGATAGAAAAGTTAAAATCAGTTGATGGGTTAGTCGCTGGATGTGTGTGATGCTGCTGTGTTGGGACCCTAAAACCTCTTCTCCTTCTTACCTTGAAGAAAGTGACAAGGCCCCCATAGAAGAGTGCAAGCAGAAAGAGGATCAGGTAAGTGGAGACCCTATTCCAGGCACCATCCAGCTCAGATAGTTCACTGTATACATCGTCTGCTTCATTGCAGATGCCATAAATATCAGCATTTGTGACAGCACAGTCCCAGGAATCTGCAGAAATGAGGTGAGATGAAAAGGTCATTCCATGGAGAAGAAGAAAAACCAGGAGAGAGAGAGAGGGAGAGGGAGAGAGAGAGAGAGAGAGAGAGAGAAAACACCACCACCAAGGTTGATGGAACAAAGAGATATAGGGAAACCTTCCAGAGGCATTATCCACTTATCTTTGGTGTACCTACTGGATCAGACCAAAGACCCACATAGTTCAGCATCCTGTTTTCCACAGTTCCTCCTCAAATGCTACTGGGATAACCCACTACCATGATACGAAAGAAACAGCCACCTCCCTGGTGTTTGCCCCCAAGTCAATAGTGTTCATTTTTTTTAAAAAAATGGAAGCTCCATCAGTGAAACATTCACCTTATCAAGATCTACACTGCTCCAAGAGCATTTGGCAGTGTGGGTTTTGTCAACACTAGAAGAATGAGAGAAATATTCCTTGGAGTATTAGTTTAATATACATGTGCTGTGTACATAAGGACTGAGACACAATGTAAGTGAGAGGAATGCTACATTGAAGAACAAAAGACAACAGTGACGTTGGAGAAAGAAGCCAAGAAAAAGAGACCGTCGTCGTAATGAAGAGATTTATCCGGTGATGTGTACAGAGACGGCACAATTAAGGTGCGTTTTACCAGAATGAGAATTGGCTCTTCTAAATATGATGTTTGGAGAGGAGACGTGAGCTACAAGGCACGTGTAGGAGACTCCCATCATCCATTGACTTCTTGGGACTTCGAGGATGCTGAGTAAAGAGCACCTCTCTCTTCCATGGTCACACTTCAAGTCGTGGGCGTCGTGGCCCTTCAGTGACACCTCTGTGTTCTCCTCCTGCCATTTCACAAAAACTTCTCCTGGGTAGAAATCTGTGGCTATACAGAATAAAGTTACATTGAGGTCTTCTCTGGAGGACTGCTGCTGGAGGGAGACTTTGGGGGACTTCATCGTGCCTGTTTGAGAAAACATGTATATGTGAAAATGGGAACAAAAAAGACAAACCTGTACTATAGATTTATACTGCCTAAGAAATCATTCCTTCCCAGGAAATCCTGACAACTGTGAAGGGTAAGGGTTAAAGATCTGCAATAGTATTCTTAGTAAGATAAAGGTAAAGGTTTCCCTTGCTCGAAAGCCAGTTGAACCCGACTCTAGGGATGCGGTGCTCATCTCCGTTTCCAAGCCAAAGAGCCAGCGCTGTCCAAAGACATTTCCGTGGTCATGTGGCTGGCAGGACTAGACACAGAGGCACACAGAATGCTGTTACCTTCCCACCGAAGTGGTACCTATTTATCTACTTGCAATTTCTTGCTTTCAAACTGCTAGGTTGGCAGGAGCTGAGACCAGAGATGGGAGCTCACTCCATCATGCGGCACTCAGGTCTCGAACTGCTGAACTACTGACCTTCCGATTTGCAGTTCAGCGTCTTAACCACTTGAGCCACCACAGCCCTCTAGTATTCTTAGTACTCAACTATAATTCCCAGAATTCTTTGTGGAAGCCCAGGAATTAAACTGCCATATGAACAGGTGCAAGTTTTCATACATGTGTGTTTTCATACACATATGCCCTACGACCAGTGATTCCATCCCTCTCTTCAGAAGGCTTTACACTTGCAGAAGAAACTGAGAGCTTGCTCAGTAGCATCTGTTTCTGGCCACAATCAAAACCACTGATTAGGTGGGCCTGACATTCAAGTTCCCATGAGTAACTTTCTTATGTTCCCGAACCTCCCCGTCATCACCTCATGAGCTCAATGTCCAGCCCACCTCATTCTTGCCATAAATCCTCACCATGCCTTCTCTCGTAGAACTGTGTGACTTCTCCTAATCCAGTAGAAATACTACAGGTGAACTTCATGGTGCCTTTCCATTCAGTAAGGTTCACCACCAACTGGCTACACATCCAGGCAGTGTCAGTGGTTTTATTCAAGACTTCTGTGGTCACCGCTTGAGTGTTGGCAGGTTGTCCATCCATAAGCCAAAGGACTGTCCAATTCATCATTGCATCAGCAAGTGGTGCCGTGCATGTTAGAGCTGCACTTTTGTTTGTAAAGAGGTCTTCAAAGGACGGGGGTTGTATGGATATAATTGTTGCGTTGATGGGAGCTGAGAACGTTCCTTGAAAAATAAACCGTCACACTTATTGATTTGAAGAGTGTCTCTCATCAGTTACTCCATCTGCCAGTATTTCATACTGACTAAAGCACAATATATCTTATGTTGGGATACCCAGTGAGACTTAAAGTAACAAAATTTAAGATGTTTATGTGAAAACTGGGGAGAAGAAAGGGAGAAGGCGACACTTCCCTTCCTGCCTAGAGCCTTTTTCACCACTACTGTGGAAAATGAAAGAGTCCTCCAGTTTTGACTGGGAGACATGAAGCATTCGGGACGCTGACACAACTCAGTGGAGTGCCATGGGTTCAGCCCCAGATACAAATGATTTTACCTTCGTCTGACCAACTGATGAGTTTGCTGCCTTCTTTTGGGTTAAACCACAGCTATCATCGAATGTCAGAGGGGCTGTGCCTCAGCAGTAGAGCATCTGCTTGGCAAGCAGAAAGACCCTGGTTCAATCCCTGGCATCTCCAGTAAGAATCAGGTTGTAGGTGATGTGAAAAACTTCACCCTAAGACCCTGAAGAGACCTCAACCTGAGACCTTGGAGACCCACTGCCAGTCTAAGTCGACAATACTGACCTTGATGGTCTGATTCAATACAAGCCACCTTCATGTGTTCATGTGATTATTGCTAGAGCAAGTGAGTATCCTGTGTTTAGCTATATGCCCACCATATCTCTAAAAGATTTGCCTGACAACTAGCAACCATTCAACTAATCCATTATTTCCCCATTATAGTCAATGTCCTTACTACCACCTTGCCACCACCGACCAATCACCAGACCAATTTTATTTCTGTCTTTATTCCTACTCAACAATCTGTAGACCATGCTAGGGTAGAAATCATGTTAGTAAATAAGTAGCCAGCCACTTTGGTGGCTCTATGGGGCCAGAAAGGTCAGGTAAAAATCTTGTTAATAAATATAAATAAGAAATACCATCCAGTCTTGGAGCTCCATTATCCTAATAAGCAGGGGTCATTTCCTGCAGGAGCGCACAGGAGCGGAGCTCTGGCAGTAAAGAGCCCAGGGGGTGGACACATGCAACAAGCCCCACCCCCTGCTCCCAGCAGCCCTCAGTCAGAGCAAGAAGCAGCCAGGTAAGCTGCAGAGCCCCCCCGGCCCCCCGGCCCAAAACAGTCCAGTGGCACCTTTAAGACCAAGTTTTATTCAGGTACAAGCTCTCCCTCCTCTGCGAGGACAGATCTGCACGTTCCCCCCCCAATAGCTAGCAATCCAAAACAGTCCAGTGGAGCCTGAGGGGTGGGTGTTGCCTTCTGCATATGCAAATAAGCTATGCTAATGAGTTATGCTAATGATCTCCTGCACCTCTTTTTCTACAAAATGACCCCTGCTAATAAGGTGTATGAGGAATGATTACTGTGTCCAGTTAACGGTGAGGTGAAAGCACTCCATAGACACCCAGAAGAACTCTCTCCAGTATTGGACTTGGCTTCTGTCTGTTTACAGATTTTACACGCCATTTACTTTCATCTTTTAACTTACCAGAAGAATGTAAGACCTTCTTAGTCAAAGTGTTGGTTGAGCTGTGATAGACAGTGCATGTATATGTTTGGGGTTCTCTCCATTCTTCTTCACTGAGTGCCAGGTTGCAGCTCTTCTGGTACTTTCCGTCACTGAGGGCCACCAGAGCTGAAGAGTTAAAACTACAGCTGAGATTCACTCCTGGGACACTCCACTGAATGTCAATATTTTTTGGATGGAAACCAGTAGCAAAGCAGATGAGTGTATGTCTTGCCTCTTCCTCAGAGGTGTGGAATGCCATAACGTGAGGGGAAGTTGGCTCCAGAAAATCTGAAATGAAATGGTTGGCCTCATGAGGTTTTTAAGGCAAGAGATGAGCAAAGGTGGTTTGCCATTGCCTTCCTCTGCATAGCAACGCTGGGCTTCCTTCCACGGCTCACTCTCCTTGGCTTCCAAGGTCTGACAAGAGTGGGTTAATCAGGGCTATTCAGGTTGCTATTCATGCTTATACGGAAGTGAATAATGCTTTAGAACTCATGCGTTAAAAGGCCTGATTCCACTGATTTCCATGGTTCTAAATCCTAGTGGCATAGAGGATAAGTTAACACAAGTGTACCCATCATTCCAAATGATGACTTGCAACTGTGAACTGCCATTCATGCCCAAACACCACAGACAGAGCACTTCTACCAGCTGAGGGCACCTAAGACACAATATTTTTCAATATAGGAACTTCAGTGAGAATTGGTGAGACTGCCGAGATGTTCAGTTGTGAGTGATTTGTTGTCACAGCAGCATAATCCTATGATTGATCTTCAGTTGGTAGTAGAAAGTACAGTCAAGTTGTAACTGGCTTATGGTGACCCAGGCCTGTAGCTAATGTGGGGCCCGCGGGGCCTAGCCCTCTAGTATTTCTTCTGGGACACCTCCCTCCCGGGGAAGCGTTTGGGTTCTGGGGTGCAAAGCTCTCCTGGCGGTTCTGGGCACCCCCTCGGGAACTCCACAAGTCTGGGCCACCCCACCCCCTCCCGCCCTGACAATGGAGCCCAGCCGTGCCAGCTTCTTAGGATGTCGCTCTGGGACACGCTCAGACTGTCGGGCACTTGTGAAACAATGATCCCTCCGGGGAAAGCCGGGAGGGAGTTGGGCGGGGGGATGCACCAGCCACTGGAGAGTCCTTCTGGGGTGCCATCACTCAATTGCCTTTGTTAGAGAGCTGCTACTGCGCGTGCCTGTGCAGCTGTGCCCCCTCCCCAATGTGCGTGTGTGTGAGAAAGAGAGCATGCAGAACATCTCCCCCAACCTCCTTGCACACACACGTACCATAGCTGAGTGACCTGGAGGTCGGGCTTGGAAGAAAGACCCAAGGAGGGCGTGATCCAGCCCTTTCGCCTTCTTCCAGTCCAGATCGCAAGATGCCCTGGGCTGGGTTAGCTGCCGCCCCCCCTGGCCCCCTCCCCAAAAATCCCTACCTATGGGGCTGTGGTGACCCCGTAGTGTTTCCGAGGCAAGATACATTCAAGGGTGGTTTGCCATTGCCTGCCTGTGTGTAGCAACCCTAGACCTTGATTGGCTTCTGAGATCTTCTGAGATTGGGCTAACCTGGGCCACCCAGGTCCGGGCTCCTTTTCTGTTTCGCCACTTTATAACGACCCTAGGGGTCAAAGTGAGAGTCCAGGTCAGGGCAGTCCAGGTCCAGAGCAGATGTCTTCCCATCCCTGCTACTTACTTGACACTAGTGGTTCCAGCATAATTTGCAAATAATAATACGAATTTTCATAGATCAGCAGTGCTTGGCTTTTTATTCCGAGTTCAGCTCTTATAGGCAAAGGTTTCCCTTGCTCGAAAGCCAGTCGAATCCGACTCTAGGGTTGCGGTGCTCATCTCCGTTTCAAAGCCAAAGAGCCAGGGCTGTCCGAAGATATTTCCGTGGTCATGTGGCCGGCATGACTAGACGCCGAGGCGCACAGAACGCTGTTACCTTCCAACTGAAGTGGTACCTATTTATCTACTTGCAATTTCTTGTTTTCGAACTGCTAGTTTGGCAGGAGCTGGAACTAGAGACGGGAGCTCCCTCCGTCGTGCGGCGTACTCGGGTCTCGAACTTCTGAACTACCGACCTTCCACAGCCTGCAGTTCAGCGTCTTAACCACTTGAGCCACCGCAGCTCCTAGTCTTTAGTTACCACGTCCTAAATAATAATATTTCATGGTTTGCAATTTTAAATTCCTTCCTAATCTCCAGACTTACCGTAAAAAACCTTACTGATGTTGTACATGTCAGGGGAGGACTCATGACCCACCGTGCATGTATACAGGGTTCTGCTCTCCCATTCAGAGGATGGGATTTTCAGGATGCTTTGAGCAGTAAAGGTGGGGCTTCCATCTTTGGCTGCTGGAGCCCCTGTGATGTACTCAGAGGGCTCAACATCACTGCCATTCTTCTTCCACCTGAACAGTATTTCTGCTGGGAGGAATCCAGAGGCAATACATTCCAACCAAGCTACATCTTGGGAGGCCGGTTGCATCAGTTGTGTTGGTGATGGGGTGACCCAGGAGAGAGATGGAGCTTTAATTTTGTTTGGATCTGTATGGAAGGGGATAGAGGAAGAAATGTTGATAAGGATGGTCCTAACATCTGGAAAGAGATGCTAGTATTTTTCTCTTGAAGGATCGGGTATCTCACGGCTTCACTTTACATGAGTAAAATGGCCAGGGCTCATGGGGTCTACTTGAAAGTCTACCCCCAACCTTTAGTTCCTATCGGTGGTACAGTATGACAGAGCAGTTGGTTACCACTTATAGACTTCTTAAATCTTCTCTCACCTTGAACATGTTGAATTATTTCCGTCTTCTTTGGGAAGAGTGAGCAGGAATTGAGAAACGGTGCACTGGACTTGGCTTCCAGAATCCCAGACCTCTCTGGGGATGACCAACTGGCTTTCTAAACTCTGGGTCTTATTTTTGTGAATGGTGACGTTCCCCATTATGCTGTTTTTGCTGTCATTAACACCACCCACCATCCATGTGAGTATGCCATGGTCTAGCTCGTAGCCTACCACGAGGCAGGTCAAGAGGGCTTTCCTTTGGATGAGTAGTCCCTCAAGGGATGGCTTCAGGAGGTAGAGGCCGGGGGGTGGGATGCTGCCTTTACATGCTGGAAAGGAAAAAAAAAAGAGCATAGTAGTTTAGAATGGACAGAGATAACCACTTGTTGGGGTTGTGGAAGAAAGAGAGAAATGAAGAGCTAGAGGGAGAATGGAAAGGGAATGTGGGATGGGGTTCCCAGCCTCATCACATTGGAAATCCCACCCTATTTCCAGTTGTGATGGTGGAAATGATGAAATACTTCCAGAGTGTTAATGCCTCCATTGGTTAAATTGTCTGATGAGTGGGTTGTAAACTTGGAGTTGCCCAAGACAAGAGCACAGAGCACCAACTAGGGTCAATTACAGGGGATGTCTCTTTTCCTGGCAATCTGATTGCCTCAGCTCTAACAGGGGCATGGGTGTGGAAGAGCAGGGTGGAGTCGGGGAAGTACGAATATACTTTATGGACTGTGAAAAGATCCATTAAAAAAAAGAGTGAGAGCCAACGAATCTAAAAGACTCACCTGTGCATTTGCTGATATGGCTTGTTCGGGTGATATTTTTCCCCAGCTGAGTCACCTTACAGGTATATTCCTGTAACTCGTTCCACTCTTTAAGGGGTACGGTAAGGTTGCTGGTGGTGTGGAACTGGTCTCCTTTTCCTGGAGGGCGGTCCATCTTCAGGCTCTTTTGAACCTTCCCGCCAGCCTCCCAGGTGACTTCGATGTCCTCCAGATAGCCATTAATGGAACAGAGTAAAGTGATGTCGTGGTTGTCACTCGGGCCTAGGCTGGGGCATTGTGGGTCGGTGCTGAGACTCAGTGTGAGGGGTGTGGGCATAATCGATCCAATCCAGTCTGAATAAAGGAAGGAAGGAATGTTCTTTCATTCAAGCTTGCTTCACAAGATTCTGGTGAAGGTAAGATTTCCTTAGACAGTGCTGGTGACTTTAGAATGGACCTAATCATACTCATATCCCATGGATGTTTTGGGAAGACAAATCTCTTTGTTTGCTCTATCACTGTCCTTCCTTTCCTTCACAACATATCTCTGTTTCCACCATATTAATTCCATCTGTCAGGCCACATAGTATTTTGCCTTTGCCTCATAGGCTGCTGTCACACACACTAAAAAATCCACATTGAAGGAACTTTCCAACTGGATTTTTACTGTGTGAACTGGCAAAATCCCATTCAAAAGTGCACTGAAAGTGGATTATTTAGAGTGTGACCGCAGCCATAATCTACTTCTTCACCTTCCAAATCAGAAGACTGTTTTGCTTCCATCCATCCATCCATCCATCCATCCATCCATCCATCCATCCATCTATCCATCCATCCATATCTTGCCTTCCTCTTATTATTGGACTGAAAGCAGAGAGTTCTTAGAGGTCCAAGGAAGTATATCGTCCAGGTACAGACCAGAACCTGACCTACTTAGTTTCAAGAAGGCTATGTCATTTCTAGCAGTGGTCAGTCACCTTACCAGTTCTACCTTTACTAGCTTGTTTACTTTTGAAAGAGTGCCATCAGATTCAACTGGGAAATGCAGAACAGAGAGTCTGACTGTGTGTTGTGTTGTTGTGAATACATTGTCCCACTTTACCTTTTCTGGAGACTCTCTTGAGAGACGTGAATTTTGATTCATTATGTACCACCTCACAAATATTGTTGCCCACTTCTTGCCACTGAGAAAAGGTGATCTCGATTTGGCTACTGGCCATGTATCTTCCATTTGACATTTTTTGTTCTGTAAATGTTACAGCCTTCCTTGGTGGACTACCCTGCCAATGGATAGTCACGTTTCCAGGCCAGTAGTCAGATGCGACACATTTCTGTGTCACTGTTTTCTTCTCTTGGTCTATCGACTGGAGGAGCTCGACAGTAGGAGCTTGAGGTTTGGGTAGGTCTGTGAAGAAAATGCAGTTAGGAATGGCTCAAGAAGAAGGAAAAAGAAGAGGAGCAGAAGGTGGCTGGGAAGGCACCAAATTACCTGGGTGAAGCAAAAGGAATCCCTCAGGCTCATTAGTAAGAGAAAGGAAGACATTCTTCATGAGCCAAACAAGGTGAAGTGGAAATCAGGACCTCACGTGTCTTTCCTTTGTGGCTAGCAGGAGGAAATGAATCCATGCTGTACAATTGGTACAAGAAGTCGATAGAACCAAATTCTGAGCATGCCCAAAGGTTAGAGATGGAGGCCAAACACTAGTCAATGAATCCAGCGATACCTCACACAGAAGTATGGTAGTCTGCAATTATGAATTACGGAGAACACGCTCTGATTTCCCCAACTGTGGGCCAGGTTCAGAGAATGGTTTTCAATGGAAGGCACTTTCCTCCTTGCCTGAGGATCCTTGAGTAGTACCACAGTGAGTGAAGCCCTTGCATAGGTCATCCAGAGTTCATGCCAAGGCTTTGATGAGCTTCCAAGGGGACAAACCGTGCAGCTCCAAAGTGAGGGGAAATGATAACAAAGCTCTGCCTGTGGTGTTTGATTTGGATGGTGTTTTCACACATGCAAGCCAGCATCAGCGTCATAGTGACCTGCATTTGTGTGGATTTGTACCACAAGGATCCCAACAAGCACTGAGCATTTGTGCTGAGGCCTTGAGAGTTGAACTCAGTTTAATTTCCCCCATGATTTTCATTGGAATCTATTCTCAGGTAAGTGTTGCGACTTTTATTTAGAAGTTTCATAGATATACAGCAACCCAAACCAACCGGTGCTTACCAATGGCCTTTGCTATGTCAACCCATTGCACTTGTCCAAGTCAGTTATATTATTTATTACCTTCATAATTCATATATTTATACTACAGCTTTCCCCTGTGGCTCAAAGCAACTTTGGATCCCAAAAATGAGATGAGCAAACAAACAAACAAACAAACAAACAAAGATGCAGTGTTTGTGGAAAGTCCCATCAGGTCACAGATGGCTTATGACAAACCAGAACGTTTTCAAGGCAAGAGAAAAACAGAGGTGGTTTGCGATTGCCTGCCTGTGTGTAGCAACCCTGGGCTTCCTTGGTGGTCTCCCATCCACGTACTGACTAGGGTTGCCAAATGTGAATTCAGCCACAGCGGGGGACTCCCAGCTGGCGGCTGGAGCGTGTGCGTGAAGCGCGCACATGCCGCATCTACGTCGGGCTGGAGCGCGCACGTGCTCCACCATAGAGTTTTCCCATAGAGTGCCCTTGGATGACCGTGGCCCCGCCCCCAGCGTGCCTGGCATGCCTGCGTCACTTCCAGGTGATGTGCACGTCAGGGTGAAGTTCCCCCCGGGGCCCGATCAGCTGCTGGTGGGGAACGGGCCTCTGGGGTGGGTTTTCCCCTGCCCCCCGGGGGGACTTGGCAAGCCTAGTACTGACCAGGGTCACCCTTGCTTAACAGCCAAGGTCTTATGAGATTGGGCTTGCCTGGGCCATCCGGGTCACGGCACAACATGTAGTAAACATAGTAAAACCCCATAGACTTATCTCCTCAAGAATATAAAGGTAAAGGTCTCCCTTGCTCGAAAGCCAGTCGAGTTCGACTCTAGGGTTGTGGTGCTCATCTCCGTTTTAAAGCCGAAGAGCCAACGCTGTCCAAAGATGTTTCCGTGGTCATGTGGCCGGCATGACTAAACACCAAGGTGCACGGAACGCTGTTACCTTCCCACCAAAGTGGTATCTATTGATCTACTTGCAATTTCTTGCTTTCGAACTGCTAGGTTGGCAGGAGCGGGAACTAGAGACGGGAGCTCACTCCGTCATGCGGCACCCGGGTCTCGAACTGCTGAACTACTGACCTTCCACAGCCTGCAGTTCAGCGTCTTAACCACTTGAGCCACCGCAGCTCCCTCAAGAATATACCTGTAGCTTAAACAAAGTGTGGGCCATTATAGGAAAGGAATGGGCTCTTCTACAGGCCAAGTGGGCCTTGTTCCGCAGGGGGGCAACTAGAATCTGTCAACCATAAAGCCAGACTTTCTGCATAAGGACATGGGGGATGTCCTTCAAACTCGATCTCAGTGTAATCACCATGCTGGAGTTGGTACCAATGCTCCCTCGAAGCTGTGGAGTCCTGTGAGGAAAAATTCTACTTTGTGAGCGACTGGCATGAAAGTTGTGAGCGAGCGATTTGGCTGCTGCATAAATTAGTTTGCGCCGGAGCCACCCTTTGTGAGCGAAGAAAAAAATGTGTGAGTTGGAGGCTTAAAAAAACCTGCGAGCTGGCTCACAGTAGCTCAGCTTCGAGGGAACACTGGTTGGTACCTGGCCTGCAGCCACGGTGGGGGCAACTGGGGGCTCTGCCCCCCCTTAAAGCCCCACAAGATTTTCTTCCAAAATGATTTAAAAATCATTAGAATTTTTTTTAAAGGTGTGCACTCTCTGGTGTGCACTTTTTAAAGGTGTGCACTGCGGCCAGACATGCACCAAACAGATCTTCCCCATGTGTGGGGGGAGGAGGAGGAGGAAGAAGAAGAGGGGGAAGGAGGAAGAGGAGGATTGTGTGAATGGAGGAGGGGAAGGGAGGTTGGGAGAATACAGGGAAGTACAGTTATTTATAGACAATATTTTTAGATGACAAATAATGGCAGCCCCACCAGAAAAATAATTTGCCCCATAAGCCACAAAATCCTGGCTCCAGGCCTAGCTAGTATTAATTTTTTTAATGGCAATACTCATGTTTTGTGACCACATTTCATCAGTGTGAGACATTCTTTGGCCCACCCGAAGAGGATAGGATGGCTCTATACTGATGACTGCCCACCATTCCTTTCTTATGCCTCTGATCTGGCATGTGCCAACGCCTGCCTGATGCATTGCCATCTGATGTGGCTGCATCAATGGCTATGTTCTCAGCATGGTTACGCACTGATGAAAACATGGCACTAGCGCAAGAACCCTTCTTCCTTATCTCATTCACTTGTCCCAAAAACCTTTCAGCTGGGCAAGAATGAGCCAATCGCCAAGCATCACAACTTGCCTCAGAGTTTCCAGAATATTCTTCCTATCATGAATCGGCTTTGTAGTAAAGCCAAAGTTTTTGGGGCAAAGACAGGTGAAGGTAATTGCCCTTTCCTGCACTGACAGGGCCTCTACAAATGAAGGGATTGCTGAGAGGTGATCACTCATACCTGATCTCTAGAACCCTAGTTGCCCCCCCCTTGGGAGATCCACTTACCAGAGGATATGGCTTCATCAGCTGTGATTGTCTTGGGAGAGGAGGAATGGTGGACCACACAGGTGTAGCTGTTTCTCCCATTCCTTCCTTCACTCCTACCAATCTTCAGGATGCTGTAAGTGGCATAGGCCTCTCCAGATGACACCACAGGCCCATTGTCATACAGTGATGTGTTCAGCAGTATATTGTTCTTCTTCCATGAGATGCTGATTTCCATTGGGAAAAAACCATTCACATCACACACAAGAATCTGGGCAATGGTGCTGCTGGAAGATGTGTCACGGTAGGCTTGGGAGATCGTGATTATAGGCGCCTTGGTTTGTGTATCTAAAAGGCAATGGTCAAGCTGAGATCATTATTAATGTAAATTAGAATTATGATTGCTTCTACAGTTGGAGGAAGAGCTAGACAAAAGTATGACAGATATGATAGGAAGGCCCTGCTAGGAGAGCATCCTTCTAGCGCAATCAGAGCTGGGTATCTGTACTCACGTGTGTCCTTTTTTATTGTGACATCTTTGGTGATTTCCCCTGAGCACATGGTGGCTACTTTGCACTGGAATGTGGTGCCCTTTCCCCATTGCTGTAGTGATACTGAGTGGCTACTTTTTGCGTTCGGGCGCCCACCAGCATCTGTCTTCACAATTTCTGGCTGAGGCTCGGTGCTAGGACTGCCGTCTACATTCCAGGTCATCTGGATCTTTTCCAGGAAGAAGCCCTCCACAAGGCAGGTGACAGTGGCTGTCCCTTCGACCAGATCTCTGTAGGATGGTTTGGTGATGGAGATGGCAGGTACTTGCATTGATTTATAACAGGCTGTGGAGGATGCGAAGAGACAGGAAAACTTCAATGATCAGACTTCTTTGACTAAGAGAGAATGGTGTCATAGCTCTACACACTCTTACTTGGAGTAAGATCTCTTGAACTAATTGGCATGCACTTTTCAGTAAACTTGCAAAGGTTGAGTCGTATGTGTTTTCAGGGATAAAAAATGTTATTAAAACATGCTTAAAATGATAATAAATGCCCTAGTAATGCTCGTCAGGAATTACAGCTCAGCTTTTTTATTTTCTTGAACTCAGATGGGATTGATTTGTCTGCTTAGGTCTGACCAACCTCAATTTCCCAGAAGCCTTTGGACCAGGTTATGGGAAGTCGCTACTAGTGGCTTGGCCAGTCGTTCCTGTTCCTAGCTCTGTGTTTGCATGCTTTGTCATGTGCCTATATCCCTGGCTCTGTTTTTAGTTGGTTCCTCTTTCTCCTTGCCTGTTCACTCGTGTCCAAAGTTCTTCCTGTTTGCCATGTCTTCCTGGATTCTGCCTTAAATGACCCACCCAAGCCTACAGGTTCTATAGTCCTTATATCCTGGGAGGCTCCCCATATTAATCCATCCTAGTAAGACCTCCTGATCTGCAACCTGTCGTCATGCCCTTTCTTTAGACCTGGCAGTGCTCACCCTTGCATTTGCTGGTGTTGTACATTTCAGTGTCCTGGTTTGTCGGCAGGGGAGTCACTCGGCATGTGTAGTGGTCCCCTTTGTCCCAACTCTTTTTGGTGATGTTTTGTGTGATGGAGCTGGAGTAACCACCGCTTTCTTGTTGAATGAGTTTCACGGTCCGTTTATTTTGCTCCACAGCTCCATTGATTAGCCATTCCACTTTGGCTTGTCCAGGGCCAGAGCTCAAAAGGACACATATGAGCTCCAGATCAGTCTCCGTGTTCTCTGCATCACAGTCAGGGGTCAACAGGCGAACTCGAATGGGTGTTGGATTTCTTTTGGCGCATTCTGAAAGTAAAGAGTGGGAAAACCTTGCTGATATCTGGGAACAAGCATACAAGGCCTTCTGTAAGGGTATGCTTCCACAGGGACTATTATGGGTCTTGGGTGGATTCATCCTATCACCATGAGCCATGCATAGTTTGTATCCATTCCCCCCCCCCCAAAAAAAAACAACAATCTGGGGCTATGCATAATGGTATGATTTGTAGTAAGGTAAGACTGTGTTTGATATGCAATTCCTTTACCACACTCTCTATTTCCCCCCACATAGCTGTTTCCTTCCAACATGCCAGTATAAGAAGAGTATAATAACAAATGATTGGCACAGTAATGAGATAATACGGAGAACAAGAAAAACTGTGAAAAAGTGACGCTTAATATATGTCTTTAAAGAATCATGGAAAAGTGAACAAAAATAGTATACATAATCATTATATTGTCCAGACTCTCAAAGATGTATATTGTTGTATGTATAAGGTCCTACATCTTTGTTCAGAAGAAGATCTTCCTTCGAAACGGCAAGACATTCCGGAGATCACCGTCAATAATTTTTTCTATGATTATATATATATACTATATATACTATTTTTGTTCACTTTTCCATGATTCTTTAAAGACATATATTAAGCGTCACTTTTTCACAGTTTTTCTTGTTCTCTGTAGTATAAGAAGAGTAGCCATGCATGAAGCTGCCTTATACTGAATCAGCCCGTTAAACCATCATGGTCGGGATGGTCTACTCAGACTAGCGGTGGCTCTTCAGCATCTCAGGAGGAGGTCTTTCACATCACCAGAGGTCATTACGGGGGGGAACGCGGGGGATCGCAGTTCCCCCAGGTGAGGGGCGGGGGGCGGGGCACACGATGAAGCCCCGCCCCCTGCTTCCGGCCGCCCCGCTTCCAGCCCCCATTCAGCCAGGAGGAGGCAGGAGAAGAGGGAGGGTAAGTTGCTTCCTCCCCGCCTCTCCCCACCCCTCCCTGCCTGGGGCCAGGGAGGGCCTTGGCGGGGCTTCCTCGTACTCCCGCCGGCCTTGCAGGTCCACCGCCAGGCCCCTGATGTCAGGGGGTGTGGCATATGCTAATGAGTTATGCTAATGAGTTCTCCTAGCTCTTTTTCTACGAAATGACCCCTGCACATCACCAACTACTGGAGTTGAACTGGAGATGGTGGGAATTGAACCTGGGGCTTTCTGCATGCCAAGCAGATACTCTACTGTCGAACCTTTTGCTTCTAAGAGTAGGCCTTTAGATGCCATAGGCAAGCCCAGAAGCAGGACCACCTGCAAACAACCCTCACTTGCTGACAGCTCTCCAGCACCTTTTAAATCTCTGTATCCAGAAGTCCCATTGGCTATCGGGGTGAGAGGTAGCAGTAGGCATGTTCTCCATACAACTATCTAAGCCAGTTGTTATTAAAACATGCTCATTCTCTTGCATCATTCAAGATACAGTTGGTTATGGAGTGTTGGATTTATTATGGGTCTGGAGTACTGTGTCCAGTTTTGGGGACTACATTTTAGGAAGGATGTTGACAAGCTCGAGTGTGTCCAGAAGAGGGCAACCAGGATGGTGAGAGGGTTGGAATCCAAGTCTTATGAGGAAAGGCTGAAAGAGTTGGGTATGTTTAGCCTGGGAAAGAGAAGGCTTAGAGGGGACATGATTGCAGTCTTCAAGTCTTCAAGTCATGTAGAAGATGGAGCAGATCTATTCTCTCTTGCTCCGGAT